CATTCATCACAGAAGCACGGACTGCCCTGCTTGCACCAACCCAAGCTCCTAATGAAAACCCTTCTTCTGGCCGCCCAGAGGCCAGTGCCCTCACAGACACCGCACTTACCCTGGAGCAGCAGTGTCCCATGCGTGCCCTCCTCTGTGACCTACGCCCGCAGCAGAACAGCCACAGGTCCCAGGTGCCCCCAGCTTCTGTGTGTTCAGTTCACGTCTCCGGCTGTTTGCTCAGGCTGGCTCTGGCGGGGAAGTCTCAAGTTCCAGGCAGCCTGGATGCCCTCTCCCCTCCACACCCCTGCTCTGCCCGGTTCAGAGGGATCCAGAAGGGTCCATCTTGCCCGTCAGGGCGCACAGCCCGCTGCTCTCCCAGGGCAAGGCTGTCCTCGCCTCCCTGCGTTCCTGCTCGCCGGCTTTCTTCAGGCAGGGTGCACCCCTGAGAGCAGAGACGCACAGGCCCTTGTGGGAGACGAGAGCCCTCCTGTCTGCGGCCACCTTCTGTGGGCCCCTGAGAGGGAGGCAGGGCTGCTGCAGGGTTCCCTCACCCCTTGCTCCCCAGGGGGAGCCTCCCCAGTCTTGGCCCTTTCAGGCCTGAGTCTGCTCAGCTGCAGCCACCTGCCCACATGGGAGAAGCTCGTCAGGGGGCTGGCTGCCACGGGGCATGGGGCAGCAGGACCCACATCCTGCCTTCCTCAAGCCCCTGGGCAGCCCACTCTGCCCATTGCACTCCCAGGGAAACTGAGTCATGGGAGCTCAGTCACGGCCAAGATTTATCCTATAAGTAGCTCCTGAGCCACACGGAGAGACTTGGGGGCACATGAGGACAAGATGGCAGCAACTGGCACTTGGAGCCACAACACACCCGACGTTCCTCTTGGCTATGTCCCCTGGCAGAATCATGGTCTTCCTCTTCTTCCGACGTTTCTGTTTTTGACGCTTCCATAATAAGCACATAACTTTTATAACCTTCCTATAATAAGCATGTAACTTTTACAATCCTGACCTCTCCCTCACTTCTCCTCACTTGCTGGATTTTCCTTTGAAGTTTCTCTCCTTTCCACTTCCCTGTCTCCTCTCTCATCTTCCCATCCAGGCTGACAGTCCAGCTCCCCCACATCCTGCGGGCTCCCGCAGCCCCTGTGCCCTGCCTGGGCACACAGCCCCATACGGGAAGCTAGGGGGAGCAAGCCCACCATCACAGCTAAGAAACCGCATCCTTCATGCCTCAGCAAAAACTGGCTCTGGCTTCCTGGAAACTTCTAGAAAGGATCCCACACTGTGGTCGGGAACATACATCCCCCTACCTGCCAGCCAAAGTGAGCCAACCCAGCCTGGGGGACAGAGCTGAGCATGTGAGTCCCATGGAGGGGGACCCACTCCTGTTCTGCACCTGTAGCTTCCTCTTGGTGCCCAGGCCCAGAGGCACGAGGTCCAGAGGCACATGCCACCCCTCCAGAGGCCCAGGGAGGACAACGGCCAGGACCCACATCTACACTATGTGGTCCTCTGGGGCTCTCCCGTCTGTGCCTTAGTGGAGGTGAAACTCGGTTAACACAAATCCACACGTGGAAGCCTGACTTGGCGGCATCCAGTGCAGGTTGCACCATCGCCTCTACATGGTGGGGACCACTTCCTTCACCCCCAAAGGAGAGCCTGTACCCTCCAAGCAGCCGCCCCCTGGCCCCAGGACCTGTGAGCCTGGGGTGCATCTGCCTGCTCTGGTGAACAGGTCCTAGGCCGTGCGCCCTGGTCCCGGCCCCTCTCCCTCCCCACGTGTCCTCAAGGTCCACCTCAGGCCACTGTGTGCGGGCACTCAAGGCCTCACACTTCCCACCTCGGAAGGGACCAGCTTCCGCCTGCTGGCCTCACAGGAGCCTGGCCATGGAGGCCATCCTCATTTCACCTGGGGGCCGCGCCAGCCCTGGATGTCGAGCTGAAGCTGGCTTGACCTTGACCCCTCAGAGTCCCTGAGTTCTGCACGACCAAAAGCCCAGTGGGACACGGGCAGACCCCAGAAGTCCACAGGAAGCCCTGTCCTCGGTGACGTTGATGCTTCTCCCTCAGCAAAACACAGTCGTCACAAAGCCAGTCAGGTGGCCAGCTCCCAAGGCCACCGGGAGGACAGCCTCCCAAGGACCTCACAGCCACAACGCTCATTGGTTCCATTTCCATTTTGTGACAGAGGCTGGTGGGGATCCCACAGGGTGACCCGACTCAGTGGCTCTGCACTCCGCTGCAGGTCTCGAGGCCCTGGGGTAGCTTTGCTCCTCCTGGTGCCCAGCCCCGTGCGGAGTGGGGATCACAGCCCCTGGCCACACTAGCACGTTCTAAGCTGCTGGTGTCTCCAGACCCTGCTGGGGTTTAGCTGGAGCCCAAGGACGTGTGAGGACATTTTGGACAACACCTCTTCCTCTGTGGGGCAGAGTGTGCCCCAAGGCAACAGCGTGTCCAACTCTGGGAAAAGCTGAGAACCAGACTCCGCTCCCAAGTGGTGGATGCGAGTTGGCCATCAGGAGGGCTGACCTGCCCGTCAAGCAGCCACGTGGCAGAGAGCTGAGTGAGGCCTCACACGGCCATGGTGCAGGTCAGACTGAAACATCCAGGCTGCTGTCACCAAGCAACTTGTTACCCGCCTGCTGGGCTCTCCATCCCCTGGCCTGAGCCTTCGGGCAGCCATTGACCTGCAGCCATCTCCTCCACCCAAAGCCCCGGAAGCTGCAGCCAGTGGAGAAAGGAAGGGGTGGATTTGCCGGTGAGAGCCTAAGTCAGGGCAGCTGAGGGTGGTGGAGGCCACAGGTTTCTCTCCCCACCGACCAATCGACTGATGGAGGTGAAGAGAACAAGATGCACCATAGCAGCAGAGGGACAGCCGGGCTGTGGGGCGTTGGCTAGACTGACCCTTCAGGTTTGGGCCCTTTCCCGGCTCCTTGGAGCAGAGAGCATTGCCCCTGGGGTCCCAGAGCTGGGCCATCAATATGGCACAAAAACCTGCAGGTCAGGTTGTCCAGAATGAACCTGGTGGTAGCTCCTTGGCTCTTCCACCTGCCCCAATGCTCAAGTCCCGGAAAGGAAAGGAAGGGCAGCCACGTGGCGGGAAGCCAGCCGTGCCTGGGGTGCCACCTCTCCTGGGCGGTGGTGCTCCAGGACTTTCCTCCCCCTCCCCCCACTATGGCTCTCAGATCCCTGGTTCTGCCTCCACTTGCCAGTAGCAATCTGACCCAGCTGTGACAGCCTTAAACATCTTCAGACACTGCCACTGTCCCCTGGGTGGGGCAAGAATCCCTGGGTCCTCCTGCACGCGGAGGGCAAGGCCTGTCCTTGTCTCCCCATGAGCCCATCAGAAGAGAGCAGAACACAGCTTTCTCTCAGCAGCCTGGGCCTGGTGTCCACTACGCCCACCGCCCACCGTGCTGAAATCATTCTTAAAATCCCCAATTGCAGACACAGAGCAAAGGCCGGGAGGAAGCTGGGGCCCCTTGGGGAATCCTGGAGTGGCCTGGCCTCCCAGTTGGGTGGGGCATGAGTGCTCTCCCCGGCCCTGAGGCAGAGGGAGCCTGGAACTAGGGAGAACCTGCACCCACTCAGCCTGGGCAGGAGCCAGCAGGCCTCTGTGGTCACACCCGGAGGTCCTCACAGGGTGGCCATGCGGCCCAGCCCCATGGAGATCCTCATCCTGATAGTCTGGCCACCCAGGCAGGGGAGGACACATGCAGAAATGGGGAGGCCTCAGGGGCTAGGTAGGGGCTGGCAGGGCTCTGGGCCTATGCCCTGTGGCAGACCCACCCCAGGAGGGAACTGGGCATTTCCTACTGTCAGGGCACAGCTCCAGGTTCCTGGGGCTCAGACAGGCCATGACCCATTCATTCTTGGGGCAGGGGCACCGTGTCACTTACCCAAGCACACAGCAGCTGGAAGGACCCGAGGCCCATGGAACAGAGAATTGCTTGCTCCCCAACAGAACCAGGGCCTGTGTCCCAGTGTCTGCTCCTCCCTCCCCTCTGTGTCCTCCAACCAAGAGGGCTGGAAGCCTTGAACCCTTTGTCTGAGAAATCAGGGAGTCAGTGACCAGACCCAGAAAACTCCAGGTTGTGTGGGCTCCTTCCAAGGTCAGGAACCCAAAACCACGCATGGGGGCCCTGGCACAGGGAGCGTGCTGGTGAGTGTCACCAAAGAGTGCTCGGCTCACCACTTAGCCCCGTGAGTGATGGGAATCTTTGGGGAGCTATTTCTACACCCAGGATGCAAGCAATGGCCTCTCTGCTGGGAAAGACAGTGAACCCCACAACATACCCCACCAAACCCAACACGTGTCCCTAGCTCTGCTGTCCTGGCTGGTCCCAGGTGTGTTATAGCTGCCAGGGACAGGAGGGGAAGGTGACGGGGAAGCAGAGGAGGAAGCCGGGCCTGAGCAGCTGCTCCTTGAGACCTCGGGGCTCTGGGTGACTTCTGCCGGCAGCCCCCCAGCCCGGAGCACATCGACTCTGGGCTGGAGGAGGTGGTACGAGGCATCTGATGCTGCCTGGGTCAAGATCTAATCCCTGAATTCTGCAGAAAGGGAAATGGGTTTTGAGAGCAGGCGAGGTCCATCCCCGGCCGCGCAGCTGGAACCTTCCTGGCCCCCGCTCAGCTTCCTGCTGCTCTGGAAAAAAGTCTCCCTCCTCCACAGAAGCTGCTGGCCCAGCTGGCCCCAGCCCCCATAGGAAGACAGAGGATGCTGGGCTCCTTTGAAAAGTCTGGGGCGGCCTTAAGCTGTGGACTGCTGGGAACTAGTGCAGGGAGTGGGAGGGTCACACACACAGAAGTGGAGCCACCTCAGGTGCTGGGCAGGAACTGGGACTTGAAATGCAGGTCACCTCGCCACCTCCCAACAGTGAGAAAGACCCTGGGCTTCTCTGGGTGCCTCCGGTCATGAGCTGAGGGGTCTGCACCAGGCCTCCCTGGCCCCTGGGGCATGGCCTGCACTGCTGGAGGGGAAGCAGAGGGCTGCAGGCCCACAGGTGAGGCGGGGCCCACGGCGCACACTGCCGGGTGGAGGGGAGGCCTCAGAATTTCCTGGCGTCTGCTCACTGGTGTTGCAAACAGGGGGAGAGAGAGTGTCAGGGACGAAGGGAGATTATGTAAGCGATTTTCCTCCTGAGCCTTCTCGGGCACAGTCAGACCAGACCATGTGCAAAAGTATTTCACGAGACTGGCAGCAGCTGTGTCCCCACAGGATTAACCCTTGTGGGGACCTGGATGGCTCGCCCAGGGGACTGTGCTGACAGGAGACACTGGTGGGTAGGGGGTGGGACAGTGTGGATTTGAAGGTGGCAGTGCTGTGTGATTTTGCATGTGTGGCCTCAACACTGTGCCTCTGCCCCTCTCCCGCTAGAAGACAGGGTAGTCATGATGAGCACCTGCTCACGAGGCCAGCCAGGGTTCTCGGAGGTGACTCACAGAAAGCACGGCCCACTGTCCCTGGCTCTGCCGGAGGTGTAAGAAGGAGCTAGTGACAGCTGCCGCCCAAAGCCCTTGCCTTCCAGGACCAGGCCGGTTTCCAGCTGTGCCCACCTGCCTTTGGGGAGAAGTGGCCATAGCTGGGGTCAGCTGAGGTCAGCCAGGCAGGACCCCGCAGGGGTGAGGGCCACAGGCCAGGGAGCTGCGAAACCCATCAGGGGAGCGTGGTCCCCCAGGTGAGGTGGCCGGGCTGGGCCCAGTGCTTCCACCCTCTGACGCAGCAACGGGAGGATTCCCATGGCTACTACCTACTCTCAAAGCGCTTCTGTGCCGAGGACCTGAGGGCAGGGACCGCCTCCGCCTCATCACTGGGTGCTCCTCCCGGGGTCACCTTCTGGCCCGGGAGAGTCCGGAGTGAAGCTACAGCCGAAGGTGAGGCTGATTTTTCCTTTTACAGCTCAAATGAACAGTGGTGTAAGGTTTCCCACCCTGAGAACCATTCTCTCTCACCCAGGAAGTCAACCACAGTGGCACTCTGGTAAAGACCTGTTGGCGGGTGCAGCGGGACACGGGTCCTGCAGCTGCTGTGGGGCAGGGGGCGTGGGTGGGCACGGGGCAGAGTCCTGCTGCAGCTGGAGGGCAGCCCTGCCAGCTCCAGTGCACGACTCCCCAGCCAGGCCAGGACTGGCCCCACACCAGGGACACTGCCAGGCCTGGCTCTGCCTCGTCTCCCCCCTCCTCTCGCTCCCTTCTGCTGTCCGACCACAGGAGCCCTAGATCCACCAGGCACCCTGCAGCTCTGTCCCCTGGGCAGGGCTGCAGGGCTGCTTGCCTCACAACAGGCAGAGCTGGCGTCTAGTAGGAGGGTCAGACCTGAGGCTTGGGGGACTGAGGTCCTATGGATCTGAGCTGTGGTCACCAGGCCAACAGGCAGAGGGCCAGATGGAAGGACTTGGTCAGGGCCATGAGACCCAGGGCTGTGGAGTGCTGCCCAGAGATGCCCTCAGCTGGTGACCAAGAGTAAGTACAAAGCTGGGGTCACACTGCTCCAAGCAGCAGGGCTGAGCGGTCTCTGGCCTCCAGCCTCTGCCTCAGGCCTGTGGCCAGGTGAAATGCCCATCCTGCCGCTCCTCTCAGTCACCTCCAAGCGCTCAGCGCCACTCGGAGAACTGCACAGTGACTGTATTGCTTACACCAGCCTCTGCCCTCTGCTTGGACATCACCTGACTCTTCCCAGGGTAACACAAAGCAGTCGCTCATCCACGAGCAGGCTGTGACCCCTTGTATGCCACAATGTGACCAGGCACAACGGGGAATGCCCATGGGTCCAGCACCCAGCTCCAGGCTGCAACTCTACGCTTCTGTCCTCCAGGCACACCACAAGGGCCTGAGAGGGCTAAGAGCTAGGAAGAGATGAGGGTCCTGCGGTGAGGGGAAGCCCTACACTGACCTGCCAGCACCTCCCACAGCCAGGTTCACTGAAAAGACAGCCCTGGGGCCGGGGCTGGCCACAGAAAGGTCATAACATGTGTCAGCTGTCCATCACTGTGACCAGAACACCTGACATGAACAGCTTTGGGCAGAAAGGTTCACTTAGCTCATGGTTCCAGAGTTTTCTGTTCATGTTTGGCCAATTCCACTGTCATGGGCCTGGGGGCAGAGCAGGGGGCCAGAGGGTGGAGCAGAACTGCCAGGCTCACGGCAGCCGAGAAGCAGAGAAGCAGAGAAGCAGAGTCAGACGAGAACACCCACCAGCATACCACTTCCTCGCCTCTGTGGTCCACGAAGCCTTCAGTGGATTAGCCGGCTGATGAGGTCAGAGCCCTGTGGCCCCGTCACTTCCCAGGCCCACCTCTGGGCACTGCTGCACTGGGGACCAGGCTTTCAGCTCATGAGCCTTCAGGGGACAATCTAGACCCAAAGCACATCAGACAGCCATGGGGTGACAGTGAAGCTGCTGGCTCTGTCCGGGGGCAGATGCTCTGCGCCTGCCTCCCAGGCCGGGAACCCCATCCCTCTCAGAAGCCCGCCTCACCTGGGCTGCTGCCCTCCCCCTGTGCAGAAGAGTGCAGCTCCACCACAGTCCCCTTGCTGAGGAACTGCATGCTCACTTGCCATCTCAAGGCTGCTGGGTTCTGTTGGCTTCAGATAAAACCAATGGGGACACAGTGCCCAACCATCCATCCTCACTAGATGGGCACTAGATGCAGCCAAGATCTAATCGATTTCAGGGGACCAGAAATGGAGGTGGGCAACCACTGTGGCCCCACACCTCTGCTGGCCACTGCCCCTGCACATTGCCAGGCCCAGGGCATGCACATTCCTCCCTGTTCCCATCCTATCTGCTGCAGGTGGCCCAAGGGCCCTCTCTCACCATTGTCCCGTGGCATGCCCTGCCTGCTTCCAGCTTGGGGGGGCAGAGGACAACTGGCACCACAGGTGCAGAGGGGGCACGGAGGATGGTGATGAGGCAGGAGGCTAAGTGGGTGTGGTGGGGGCGTGTAGCACTTCTCTTCTGATGCAGTGGGTGAATGGTCACCATCATCACGAGTGGAAGGGGCTGGGGTGATGTAACAGGGTCAAGACCGAGGGGAAGCCAACGGGTGGGCGGCCAGGCAGAGGGGGAACTGGCATGGAAGGTCGAGTGGCAAAAATGCAGCCAGTCCAACATTCTCTCCCAGCTCACAGGAAAGGCAAAGCTCTTGGCTTTGTCTAGGTGAGCACCAGGCAGTGGGGGTACAAGGAGCAGGGGCCTGTCCAAGGGGTGACCAGTCCCAGCTCCTTCCTGGTGGAATGAGTGGCCAGGGGCCAAACAAGAAGGAGGCTGCGGTTCTCTGTGGCCTGAACTCTCGGCAGCCCTCCAGGGCTTAGTCTTGTGGTTTTCACGTGAGCATCATACTCACCTTCATTTTGATTATTCTTGATGCTTTAGATATGGTTTAATGCTATTTTAATGAATGACTTTTTACAGCTTCACTTTGAACACTGCTGGTAGGAAATGGGGCACAGTGATATCCTGTGTAATTTTGATCCCCAAACCTTGCTGAGTACTTTCAACACTTCCATCTGTGTTTGGAGTTACTTTGGGTTTCATGTTTGGAATCTCCATCTGCAAGTGATGAGTCTCCCCCCTCCGTGCCCAGGGCTTGGGCCCTGCCTTCTCTTCCTGTGGCTCCTGGGGAGGGGGCTTTTCCCTGAGTGGGAGCAAGGTGAGCACTGGGGCCTCGGGGTTGTGCTGGTGGCTGAGGACGGCCTTTCATTTCTAGGACCCTTAACCTCCTTTTGTTTTGTCCCCTTGAGTCCTGGGGGTTGAGCCTGCAGTGCAGACCACTGAGCACACCCCAGCCCTTTTGATTTCCTTATTTTAAAGGCCCAGGCTGGCCTTGAACTTGCCACCGCCCTGTCCCCACTTCTATGCCTTGCGTTTTCACTCAGAACCTGCTTCTGCCCGGATGGTCACGTGACCTCCTGCTCTGCTCCATTGACAGGTGGAGTCACACAGAATGCCATCTGACTGCCGTAGTCTCTATGAGGACTTCAATGGCTTTGATGATTAGACCAGTGACTGCTGTTGCTGAGGGAGCTCACGAGAGTCCCGAATCCGACAGGACCCGCAGCCACCCCCAGCAGCAGCCAGTTAGCAGGCTGGTCTGCGTGTCGTGGGATTGAAACTCACGTCTGGGCGAGACCACTGTGGCTCTCTCCCCACTGATCCCGGCTGTGAAGCTGAAGGGTGGGCCCCCTTGCGGAGCGCGGTGAGGTGTGCCTCCCCATCCTGTGTCCTGGGCCTTTCCTGCTCGAGCCACGTGCTGCCTGTGGATTTCTGTTTCTCCCCGGTCCCTCCTCTCGGGGTCCACGCTGGCTACCTGCTGGATGCCGGGTTTCGCACTGCTGGGTGTAGCCCGAGAGCCTTCCCAGCATCCATGCTTGCACCCACTGGGCAGCCCAGTGACAGGAGCTGAGCGGCAGCCCCAAGGGACCCAACCCACATGGTGAGGTCCACAGGGGCCCAGTGCCCATTCATCCAGTCACCACCACTGAGTCAGTAGCAGCCCAGGAGTTGCCCCCTCTGGAGCCATCCCCAGGGTCCCCAGACTGCTGGTACATTGTCCTTGTCCCTGCAGGGTGCCGTCAGCACTACCAGCAGAGACACCCCCATGCTGTGCCCCTTTCCCTCCCAGCCCTCTTCTGGACGGCCAGGGACTTCTCGCTGTGGCTTCCCCCTTCTTGGTTGGTTATACCCTGTGCCCAGCACCCTGTGGGAAGGCTTGCGGCTTGCGGCCTGGGGTGGCCTATGAGCTTCCTGCCTAGGGTGCCCTCAAGGGCTCCTGGGTCTCACCTGCTTCCACCTTCCTCCTCTTAGGACCCCAGGAAGTCATATCTTTAACATGGCCGATTCCTAAGGGCACCCACATATGCGCCACCTCCTCTGCTCCTCCCATACCCCCCATCTGGGGTCACCTTCCTGCTGCCATGTGGGTGGCAGCTTCTGCCATCTTGTGTACCTCTGGGCAGTTAAAAACCTGTAGAATGACAGCAGTGTGCAGGCACCACACGCCTCCCCACACGGCAGAGCCCAGGGCAAGCCAAGCACCATCCCTCCCGCTGTCCACTGCCCAGTCCAGTGCAGCCACAACGCTGCCTGTGTGAGATGGGCACAAATGGGTCATGGTGTCTGCTCTACACTACACGTGACCCATCTGTGTGACCCATGAGGGTGGCTGGGCCCTTCCCACAAGGCATGTCCCATGGGAAGAGCAGCATCTGAGAGTGACCAGCTGTGAGGGCCACCCGTGTCTCCAAAGCTCTGCGCCGGCCACCACCCTCAGAGGCACCACACCGCCCTCCAGACCTCCTCGCAGCCTGTCACTGTGCGGGGCCCCGCCGTCCACATCCCTCACCCCCTCAGGGCGGGGCCCAGCTGTCCATGTCCCTCTGCAGCCTGGGTCCCTCGGACCCTAGTGACTCTGGCGGCCTCGTGGTGGTTTCCGTGTAACCAGAGAGGGTGAGCCCTTCCCCAGATGCTTATTGGCCCCTCGGAAATCCTCCTGGTCAGTGTCTGTCCTTTGCCATTTTGCTGTTGTGGGAGACAACACCAGCAGCGAACAAGTAGTGGTTGTGACCCTCACTTCTCAACATGATTGGGAGGTCAGAGCCGTGACCCTGCCTGGGCCTCCACCCCATTCCCTCTGCTGCTTCCTAGAAGAACCCTGTGCCTGGTCCATCTTGAACGCGGAGTCCTCATCTGGGGTTCTTGGTAGATTCCTGGGGGAGTCCTATGCTTGTCCAGGGGATGGCTCCCTCCAACCTCAGTCCTGAGCAAGTGAAATTCATAGTCATCCCCACCTTGCCAATCCTCGCCTTTAGAGTGGACACCTTGTGTCCAGTTAGGAGGACTGTGCCCTCCCCCAGGCCAGAACAGAGTGGCCTTGGTGCCTCCGGCACGTCTCCTGATACTCCAAGCACAGCTGGCCCCCTAGCCAACTTCTGCAGTGTGAGGCTCGGCCCAGCACCGGTGGGCCTCGCCACCCTCCTGCAGACCATGGGTCTCTCCGGCCCAGCACCGGTGGGCCTCGCGACCCTCCCGCAGACCATGGGTCACCTGCGGTGGCGGCCACCACCTCTTCAGTCTGCTCGGCCATGTCCTTCTCACTACCTCACACTGCCTGCGTCCCGGTGGCACAGAGTCTACATTCTTGGTCCTCTGCAAGCTCGAGTACGTTACTGGACAAGCATGTCCACTGCCACAGAGCCCCTGCGGCACTGATGGAAATCACGCTGGGCGTACCCCTCAGGAGGACGGGCCTCTGCAGAGCCCAGCTCTCGATGCCCAAACTGACCACAGCCTCCCTTTTCTTAGGTTTTCTTCACTTCCCTTCAACATTGGTCTGACACCGTCTGTCGGACCTGTTTCTACACAGGGCACTCCTGAGTGTGTGAGAAACGGCACTTGTGTTGATGTTTGTTCCTGGCAGCTGGAGAGTGACTGATGCATGTGATGGTTGTGGCCAGCAGCTGTGCCCTGGCAGGCTGGGGTTCCTCTCACACACCCACCACCTCTGCAGACACTGGCGCTTCATTTCTGGCTTCCTGACCCCTTGTCTTGGCTCAGCAATGCATTTCTGCTGTCCTGTGGAGCCGAGGCTCTGGGTATCCTGTCCATCCATCTCTCGCCTCCCACCCACAGCCAAGGGGGTGTCTGTCTGAGGGTCTGAAGGTTACCTTGCATCAGCCCAAGGAAGTTCCTTTCTAAGTTTGCTCAAGCTTCCCTTAGTCGTGAGTGGATTTTGAACTTTACACATTATTTTTCTGTTTCCTAAGATGACCATGTGGTGTTAATATGGCGAACTGTGCCAATTGACGTTTAAGATCACACACAGCCTTGCTGCAGCCCTGAGCCCAGTCCCATCCAGTCACCACCTGCCAGCGCCAGCATCACAAAATGCCACCATTTTCGCCTTTGGTTTCCGAGGGCTTAGGACCGTCAAGAGGCTGGAGACTGTCTTCTTTCCTCTCCAAGTCACCCTGGCCAGGCACTGCCTCGGGAGGCAAGGCGAAAGTGCACTTTGCCACCACGGCCCCAGGGAAGCCTGAACGGTGCTTGCTTCTCGACATTCCCTACACTGGCAGTCCTGGAGCCGGGGCTTCTCTTCCATGGCCAAGACCTCAAGTTCAGGTGAGCCTTCCTAAAGACAGGGCATCTGAGACCGCTCCCTCTCCCTGCAGCTGGTTTGCAAAAGGTGTTCTCCCAGCAGCCTGTGGGTGGACTGGTGGAAGTGGCGTTTCAGAACAGCCTGGGCCTTGTTGTCGGGAGGCTGCGTGGTGACTCGGGCGGCCTGTGCCTGCATCCCCGTCCCTGGCTCTTTGAGCCAACTCCAGTTCTGAGACTGCACTTGATGTTTTGCTCTCCTCGCTCATCTCCACTTACCTTTAAGTCTTCCTGTCGTGTGTTTGTCACTCAATTAAAGATACCTTCCTGTCCATGTTTCCTTTTGTGCAGGAGCTGGGGAAGCACCCACACTGAGCCCAATTTTACCCATCTGACCTTTGAGTTACTTAAGTGTGCTACTTAGTTTTCAAACACAGCTTTTTCTCCCCAGCTTTCACCTTGATTCCACTTGTTCAGGGAACACTCTACAGGACTCCTCCCCTGACACCCGCAGTCTTGACTGATGGTCTGACGAAGGCTGACTTCAGTGCTGCCCACTGGAGAGGAGGGCGAGTGGGCACACCTGAGCTCGCACCTGCACTCGCACCTGCGCTCCCTCACCCACGTATTTGACACCTTCGCAGATTTTCACATGCTGTTTCTAGACATTCGTCAGATATTGAAACTGAAGTCCTGACATTGTTCTCTCCAGGGCAGTGAAAGCTTTTAAAATAATTTACCTCTCTTCTTATACATTTTAAGGGTTTTCCACTGTTTTTTTACATTTCAATGAGTCGATTTTATAAAGACCCCTTGGATTCATCCACACTTCTCTTCTGTTCGTCCAGCCATTCCTTCTTGTTCCAAGAATCCGTTCTGGGCGCATATTCCCTGCTTCAAAGAGAATTCCCCAGAAGGTCCTTTATAGGCAGTATCTTCGGCAAGCCATACCTCAATTTCTTTTGTTCTTTCTTTTTAGAACTCAAGCACTTAACCACCGAGTCACATCCCAAATCCTTTATGTTATTATTACTTTGGGACAGGTCTTACTAAGTTGTTTAGGACCTTGCCAAGTTGCTGAGGTTGGCCTTGAACTTGTGATCCTCCTGCCTCAGCTTCCTGAGTCACTGGGATTATAGATGTGTGTTATCACATGAGGCTCAATTTTTTATTTAAAAAAAAAGTCATCGACTTCATTTTTTTTAACTTTGAGATATAATTTCATACACCAAAAGCATTCACCCTATAAAAGTGAACAGGGTCGTGTGAACATCACTGCTATCTACTTCCAGGATGCTCTCACCACCCAAAGACGACAGCCGATACCCCATCTAGGCCCCGCAGCACTAGTCTGCTGCCTGGCGTTCCATGCAAGTGCAGTCACACAGGGTGGCCTTCTGCACCCTCTTCTGGGCACCGAGAGGCCCCTCTGCGACTTCACCCCAGCTCCATGCGTGTCAGTGCTGCCTCCCTCCCTGTCAGACAACACTCCGCATGGTTTCTCCAGCACCTGCCGGACGCCTGGGCCCTCCCCACCTCTTGGCCGTCATGCATAACGCTGCTGTGCGCACTCACATACAGGTGTGTGGGAGGGGCATTTCAGTCCCCTGTGTTCTAGTCGGCCTTTCCCTGCTGTGGCCAAAAGACACGACAAGAACGACTCAGAGGAGGAGAAGCTTGTTTGGGCTCATGGTTTCAGAGGAGCCCACCATGGTCGCCGCCCTGTTGCTCTGGGCCCGAGGTGAGGCCGAACATCACAGTGGAAGAGCGTGGTAGAGGAAACCCCAGTCCACAACAGCAAGAGGCAGAGCTCTCACCCTCCAGGAGCAAAAGGTAAACCCCAAAGGCACCCCCCCTCCCTGGCCTGCCTACAGTTACCACCCAGTTCATCCATTCAAGTGGATTAATTCACTGACTGGGGCACAGATCTGCTAATTCAATCATTTCACCTCGAATGTTCTTTGTCTTACACATGAGCATTTGGGGGATCACCCGTTATATAAACCATAATATTCCACCACGGTCCTCAAAAGCTCATGCCCATCACACAATGCAAAATACAATTATTCCATTTCCAAGACTCCACAGTCTGACAGTTCCAGCATTGCCAAAATCTACCTCCAAAATCTCATGAGACTCCAGGCCAACTCATGGATGTTCTCTGTTAAAATCAAAATCAGCTACATGTATCCATATAAAGGCACAGAGGAAACATTTCTACTCCACAAGGGAGAAGGAGGGGCGCAGAGAAAAGGGGTAAGACCAAAGCAAGACTGAAATCTAGCTGGGCCAACAAATCCCGCAGCTCCGCGTCCAGCACCTGGAGATCCTGGCATCGGGAGGATCTCTCCACGGGCTTGTGCAGCTCTTCCCCGTGATCTTGCTGGTTGCAGCCCACGTGACCTCTCCTGTGGCTGGTCTGTCTCATTCCTGCACCTTTCCACAGCAGGGGTCCCTCATTACTGGCATCTCTTAGTCTCAGGGATCTCCACAGCAGCTTCAAGTTCCTTCTCCCATCTTCATGCACTGCCCTCTCAGGGGCTGCCTGCAGGGACTCCAACACTGCTACCTTGTCCCTGGCCTCTTTGGTCTTCCTGTTGAAATCTCAGTGGAAGTCCCATACCCCCTAAATCCAGCATTCTGCAATCCTGCAGAACCAGCACCACATGGCTGCCACCGAGGTCTCCCACCATCTCAAGCAGTAGCCAAGCCTCCTGGGACATGGCCGCAGCAGCATGAGTGCCTGGACAGCTGAGTGTGGTGAGACAGCTTCCTAGGCCACTGTGCAGGTGTGCTGCCCCAGCGGGTTCTTCTCAAAACAACTTTGACACCTGAGCCCGAGATGGATGTGGTCATGCCAGTTTGTGAGATGCCTCAAGTCACCTTTCCTGTGATGTCTGTGTGAAGTACTTAGCATCTCTTTAGTGGTTGTAATCTCTTCGACAACACCACCTTCTTTGGCCCTCATTTTACACACAAGGCCAAACTGCAAGTTTTTCAACTCTTTCTGCTCCCAATTATCACAGTACACTTGCTAAAAGCCACCAGCCATACCCATGCCACCCTCTGAATGCTGTGCTGCCTTGAAATTTCTCCTACCAAATTAATTAGTCCATTAACTTTGAATTCAGTTTCACATCAAGTCTCAGGACATGAGCAAAAGTAGACAACTTTTTGGCAGAATGTAACATGAATGGCATCCAGTCCAGTTTCCAAGAGTCGTCTTTCTCCTCTGAAGCTTCATGAGCTCAGTCTTCACTGCCCACAGTCTTGTGGGCATTCTGGTCTCCTGAGCATCCTCCAGAATCACCCACTAAGCTCTAAGTCCTCTCCAGCCTGTACTTCCGAACTTTTCCACGTTTCTTCCACAAACCAGTTCAAAATGGTCAGGTTAGTCATGGCAATAAACCCATTTCTGGGTTATCAGTTTCTGTTTTAGTCTGCTTTTCATTGCTGTGACCAAAAGACATGACAAGAACAATTTAGAAAAGAAGAAGTTTATTTTGGTTCATGGTTTTAGACATTCAGTCCATGACTGGCTGGCTCCATGACTCTGGAAGAGCGTGGCAGAGGAAATTTATCAGTTCATGACAGCCAGGAGGAGAGAGAGGGCAGAGGCAAGCAGGTGCATGTGCCTCACTCACCAGGGACAGAGGTGAACCCCAAAGACATGGCCCCAGTGACCAACTTCCTCCCATCACACCCTACTTGCCTCCAGTTACCACCCAGTTAATTCACTCAGGTGGATTAACCCAGTGACAATGAGCTTAGGGCTCCAAAAACTAATCATTTCACCTGTGAAACTTCTTACATCAGCTCACCCATGAGCTTTTGGGGAAGACTACTTATGCAAATCATATCACCTCAGGGGTCTCCACAGCACCTAGGTGGTCATCTTGAAGGAACTGCTGGGTCACTCATAGCATTTCTGAACAATAGTTTGCTAAAGACCCAGCTTTGTGCTGGGAGCTGTTTCTCAGACCCTGGCTTCCTCTCATTCACGGACTGCTGCCCTCTACTCTCTGGTCTGCTCTCTCTGGTCTTCAGTGTCCTCTCAGCATGGGTTCATTCTGGTTCATACAACCTGGTATATTTTCTGGATCTCAATACCATCTTCCTTCTGTTCTTCATTCTCCCTGGGATCCACCTAGACTGCATGGATTCTCTCCCCTGAAGACTCTGCCTTGGATTCTTCTCCATCTCAAATCCTGGAGCATGGCCTCCCTGAGGTCAGAGCTGGGAACCTCAATTTCTCTCCTCCCAGGCCCAGCTCCCACAGGTGGATAGGGACTGTACTAAGTTGCCCTGGCCTTCGCCCTGGGCCAGGTGCCCTGGTGGGCAGGACCCTGCCCAGGAGCCCTGAGAGGGTGCAGTGGGCAGAGTTGCAATAGTTTTAGAAGGCAACCTTGAACTCTTCCCAGAAGAAGGTCTGGGCACCATGTTCTGGGTCGGATTTCATAAACCCCACGCTCACGACTGTTGAACAGTGTGGGCAGAAGCAGGCCAGATTCTGCTGGTCACCTATAATTCAAATCACCCCTTGCATTTCTATTTGAAACTATTTTTTCTGCCTTTCAAAAACCGCAGATGTTGAGGCAAGCCCTGTGGGAAAGTCTTTCTCCAAGGACACCCGGGCCACACTTCCCAAGCTGGTGCCTTCCTGAAAGAACAAGATGTCTGGGCTGAGGTAGAATTCAGTTTGCTTCTGAGGCTCCCCCAATAACTGAAGTAGGCTCCCAACTGTTCCCAGGAATGTCCCCAAATGCCTGCCACCACTGTGGGAGCCTGGGCAGTGACTGCCAGAGTAGTGTGGGCCTGGGGACAGCATCTGGCGAGGACCCCACCCCAGAAATAGGCACTCTCAGGTGAACCATCTCTTAAGGTGAAATAGCATTGAAGCTGCCTTGGTCATAAATACAATTTATTTCATTAAAAATGCATAATTACAGTGTGTGGGAGAGCATCCCCCTAGAAAAGTAGGTAAGCAATCTTTCCATCAAAACCGCTAGCCGTCTCTTGCAAACATGTCTCCATGGCGCTGAAAAGAGCACACAGCAAAAGCCTTCTGTTACGCCACTGTTTTTCTTTTTTTTTTTTTTCCAATTTTCTTTTTTGTTATAAACACCATAGCAAATTAAAAAAAGCTGTTTAAACAAAACATCGTCATTCTTGACTTTCCAAGTGTGCTCAACGTGTTCGGTGCTGTGCTCCCCTTCCCGACCCAGCAGCATGACTCAAACCAGGGCCCTCTTGGCAGGGACAGCCAGGGCACCCTGTGCAGGAGGAGGCTTTTGGATGCGCCGCAGAGAATCCACACAGTCGCTTCCAGGTCAGAGTGAGAACAGGGCATGTGGAGACCAAGGCTGTCGGCTGAGCCAGGCCAGTGCAGTCCTGATGTGATGGTCCTTCCTGCCTCACTGTATCTGGATTGCTCCATGTTCAAGCTGCATTTCAGGCTGCAGGGTGGGCTGCAGGGTCTCGGCCGTCTGCAAGAAGAACAAAGGAGGACTTTCCTAGAAAAATGTCTACCAGCACAGGTTCCAGCAGCTCCCTTGTCAAAAAGCAGCTGAGGACCTTCTCCCACAGCGTGGACCACACTCAGGCAGAGCTCCAAAGAGCTCCAGCATCGCCATCATCCCGACTTGAGTGAAACACCCAGGACACATCAGCACTTGGCAGCAACAGTGACAGACCCAGCCCATCCCACCTCTCCTGCACACGCCCTCGGGACACGGTGGCTACAGCCAATTCCCCATCCGCTTGTCCTGGGTGTACTGGGGAATAAATAGGATTAATTAATGTGCATACTTAGCCGGACACATTTACCTAGAGCCTCAGGTACGACAAACTGCTCTCCAACGTTTCAGAAAAGCACTTCAGACAAAGCTACATCAAGGACCTGTGCACATGTCACAGCTTTGTCTGAAGATAAGGAAGATTCACCCTGCCGAAGTCTGGCTTGGCACAAATCAGGAGCCACTTGTCAAAAAGAAACTAACTTTATTTTTAGAACTACAAACGTCAAACAAAACAGCTCCTCAGGGAAAAAACCCTCAGAGCCCAACTGCCACCACCGGCTTCCACAAGCCTCTCCCCCACACACCAACCTCACCACCTCCCACAATCCTCCTGCTCTTGAGGCCGATTGGCTGGGTTGCGTGGGCAGAGCCAAAGAAGTCCCCCAATGAGCAGCTACGTGGAGGAGCCAATCAGCTAAACAGCCCAATGACAGCTACGTGGAGGAGCCAATCAGCTAGATGTTGCTGGGGCTGCTGTGAGCCAATCATCAGCTGGCAGTCTGAAGGGCAGGGAAACAGCCCAATGAACATCACCGCAGAGAAGCCAATCAGCTAGATGTTGCTGGGGCCACTGTGAGCCAATCATCAGCCGGCAACTGGAAGTTTGCTGGCAGCTGGATCATCAGCCGGCAGCTGGAAGTTTGCTGGGGCCCCTTTGGCTGTGGCTCTCAACACACCCTATCAAGGAAGATTCACCCTATCAGTGACTTAAGTCTTCCCTATCAGTGCCCAGAGCACACTCTAGTGGAGTAAACCACCAGGCTTCTGTGTGCACCCAAAGGTGCAGCTGAAGGAGACAGGACAAGCCAAAGCACCACCAGAAGGCCAAAGTCCCCAGGGGAGCTGGCATGAGAACTCCTACCACAGTCTAAGGCTGCACTTTTCAAAGACTTGTGACACTCAACATGCTGTTCCCTTAAAAGAGGGAGGGACTTCTACTTTATAAGGAAGGACCCAGCACAGCTATCACCCATTCTGTCAGCAGAAGCCCTATGTGGCTGGGCAGGAATCATGAAAGGAACAAGCCTGCGTCAGAGGCCAGGCGATGCCATCACAAGCTATGGCCCACAAGTTTCTGTAGAACTTTAGGGTGCTGATGAGGCAGGGGACTGAAAATCTTTCCATTGGGAAGCCACCTGCCCCAAAGCCCACAGGCAGAGACACTGCAGGCAGAGGTAGCTGAGCTACCCAAGGAAGCATTGAAAGAATGTGGAGGGGCTGTAGCAGCTGCAGGATACCAAGGGAACCCAGCACGCCGGAACTGAGGGGCCTCCCCACCAGGTGGGCCACAGAGAGCTGCTATGGGTTCTCCTCCCGACACTCCCTCCCAAGGGGGTGCTTTGTCACACCTTACATTCCTTCTCGGTTTATCTCCAGTGGGCTCAGCCATGGGGGAAAAGCTGACCACCCTGCCCAGCGTCTGGCTGTGCTCCCATGGCGCGGCTATGAGGCCTAGTGGCAAGCAGCCACTTCACTGGAACCCATGTTCTCAGACTCAGCCCACTGCAGTCTTGCTGTGAACTGGGAGACTCATGAGACCCAGTGCTGAGATCACTAGGGTACTGCCAAGACCCTCAGGCTCCAGAGCCTGAACACCAGGCTGACCTTGGGCCACCTGCTTGGATCTGCCGAGCCCTACTTCTTCAGCAACTGCCTCAGAGGAGGAAGGATCTGCTCTCCCCAGGGCTCAGGGCAAACATCCAGCATAGGCCCTAAGAAGTCTGGGGCTTTAGCTGTAGACACCCAAGGATGGTCACAGTGAGACACAAGTGGATCATTATTAGCTCTGGAACAGAGAGAGAGGAGGGGAACAGACCCACCAACTGCGACCAGAATTTGCAGAAGGGCTGGCAGGCTGGAGGCAGAGCTTAGACATGTTCCCAAAGTGAAGGATAAGAGGTTTGCCTGACTACCTGTGGTCAAATCAAATAAAGCCCCTCAAATGGGAACAGCCCAGCCTCAGTGAGGCCAGAGGTCTAAGCTCCAGCCCCAGCATCGGGGCTCCTGCGTGGTTTCAGATGCAGGCAATAGCACAGTGGCCTGTTTGCTCTGACAGACTCCTGGCCCTCTTAGAACTAACTGGTGGTCATTCTCATAGCAGCAGGTATATACCCTAACCTCAGAGCTAGTTCCAACACACCCAGCCGGCTGCAGAAGGTGAGAGTGAAGCTAGGAGCTCAGGCTTCCCACTGGTGGTTCACACTGGTCCCTGAGACAGGTGCGGGCAGGGGGACAACCCAGTGCCTGCCCAGGCAGCACTGTGGCCCTCCAATGTCCACAGCAGTGAGCCTTCACCAGCATTCCCAAAGGTGCCCATACTGGGTTGGGTGCTGCAGTTTCCAGCTTCCAGGAGAAGCCTGAGCATGGCCAGCCCAGGGCAGAGCCCAATTCTGCACAGCAGATGACCAGAGCCTGTACTGAGCAGGTCCCCAGCACCAGGGGAAGGGGGAGCCTCCGGAGCTCCACAGAGGATTGCAGCCCCTGGATGAAGGTGTGCTGAGGCAGGCGTGGTGCAGATATGGGGCCACCCCAGGCCTTCTGCGTTCCTATCACCAGCCAGAGGCAAGCTCTCTGTCCACCTGCCACTGAGAAACAGGCTGGGACTGGCTGGGCTCATAAGCACTCACAACCCATGGACTGCAGGAGGACTGACCTGGCGGTCTTCCCCACAGAGGTGTGACCCTTGACAGGAGGGGCAGGGGGCTCTCAGGAGAATGGGGACCTGGGCCTTGGGCCCCAGAAGTGAACTCTGAGGAGGAGAAAATAGGGCAGAACTTCATTTTTGCTTCTGAATTCAAATAAGCCTTTCCTCATCTCAAGTATCACTTTAAATCTGGATCTGAGCCAGGTCTAACCTCTCACCTCCAGGTTTCCAAGCACTTATAAATACAGAATCCCTAAGGTGTCTTCGTCTGAGCTGTGAGCCTTTCAGTCGTAATCTACCTCCCTCCAGGAAAAAGTCAGACAGAAAGCCTCTAAGCCACGTGAGCTCTGTGGAAGCCGGCAGCCGGGCCGTCCATAGGAGGGCATCCTTTCCAGAGGGATGCCAGACTTACCTGTGCTGTGGCCGTGTGGTCACTCACTGGTGCCAGCTGGACGTACTGCACCTGGATATCACTACCCTGGAGAGGTGACCCGTCCACTCCGGCTGCGGCAGGGTCTGAGGAGGCCACGGCAATCAGCTGAGCACCCTGAAGCACCTGGAGGGACAAAGTTGGATAGAGCCAGGCTCATTAGTACAGCATGACCATCAGAGCTGCAGACAACACCTTCTTCCAGACCAGGACAAGGGTGGCCCCAGGCCCACACAGTGTCCCATGCTAGCTCATGGTCCATGTTTAAGCAGCATTTGGCCAGGTGGGCAGAGCAGCATTGAGCGTGCCCAGGTGCAGCCAAGCCCACCTGACCTGCTCATGCCCGCCTCCCACAGACGGCCCCCTAGGCAGGACTTTAAAGTCTCACGTAAAGAGTAAGCTAAGGCTTCCAGTCAGCCAGCCAAGGGACCTGCTGAGGGTGTTCCTGGGAATGTCGGCACTGATCAGGAGCCCACGTCACGCAGGACCTGATAGGCAAGTGCAGGCAACACAGCAGAAAGAAGTGTGAGCTTAAAACTCAGATCCTCGAGATCATGTGCAGCAAAGCATATGCCAGCAAGAGCTCTGGCTGCAAAGGACGAAAGCAGAGAGGAACCTCTGGGGAAGGTAGTTGAGACCAGAGGCCCAGGGGTAGCCGGCAGCAGCACAGTCCCCTCTGCCCCCATCGGTTGCTTCCTTCTGCCCTTCTGACCCTGCACAACCAAAGTGCATACCTGGGACGTGCCCAGGAGGCAACAGGGTGATCTCATCTCACCAGCACCCCGCACTGGGGTCCACTTTCTGAGGGGACCACCTGGTGCTCAGGCAGCTGAGCAGACAGCCTCAGTCAGGATGGCCCAGAGCAGGCAGGATTGGCTTCTGTCTCCAATGGCACTGGACATTCACAAGCCCAAGTGGCCAGGAGCCATGGAGTCTTTACATAGGTCCCACTCT